GAAAAAAAAAAAAAAAAAAAAAGGAAAAATATATGCAAGAAAAAAAGGGAAATAATCATAACAAAACAAATCCACTGCAGTAGTGTCTAGACGCTTTAAAGCTACAGGAAAAGAAACACCACACCATCACCGCACCGTTTACAGGTAATTTAAGGCACAGGTGCTGGCTAATTCATTACTCAAAGGTGCTCAAGTAATGGGGTATCAAACTAAAGCAATTAAGCAAGCAAGCAAGACAAAAAGAGAACTGGGATTTTTCAGATGCGTCTTATGAGCTTTTTTGAACAAAGCAATAGACTGACACGAGCGAATATTTATAGGCAGTTTATTCCAAATGTGTGGAGCCGCAACATGAAATATACGTGTTATAAAAAGGTGAAGGCCCCATAATTCGACATCGAATCCTGAACTTGTGACGTGATTTCCAATATTTCTTTATATGAAAAGAATAGATTAGTAAGCATATTTAAAATGTACTGATAGAAAAACAATCAATTATCGGTAGGCCTATTATACCTTTTAAAAAGTCAGTAATTATTTAACACTATTTGCGAATAAAGAATAATTAATTATTTTGCGAATTAGCGCCCCTCAACTGATCATCGAGGCCCCTTCACTTTCGCGCCCCTATTAGCACCCCATTTCAAGACTTCTAGATAGGCCACTGGTTTTTAGGTAAGATAACATTTATTATCATTAGTAAGCCTATGCCTAAATCTCACATACGTTTTCCGACTCCCGAATCTCAGCTGGGTCGGTACGCACAGACAGGTCTCACCAGTTTTCTATTAATCGTACTTATCATTATATTTAAAATTAAATTGTATTATACTCATACAACTAAGCATCTAATCAAATATTACGGCATTAAGGGTAACTATCCAACACAAAACACAATTTCAGTGAGAAGTGACGTACGACGTTGCGCAATTGCGTACATACGTAAGTGTTTAACAGAGGCGCAAACTGTTGAAGGTAAGGTTAACCAATCAGAAGCACGAGCGGCAAATCAAATTAAAGCGCTTAGTAGCCAAGACACTGCACACATTATCGTAGGCAGGGGGTAACAGCCCAATAAAATAATTCAGCTTTGTTTGCTATAAAAATCACCTTTCCAATGGGTGTATTTTGGTAAACATTTTTTATGTTGTAGAGATAAAATATATAACTATATATATTCACGGAAAAACGTTTTGTTGTAAAGACGTCCAACTTTGGTGTTTCAGATTCGTATTTCTGGTGGACTATACACGGTTGTAGTGGCGACACCATCTCAACATCGGGAGTGCGCATTCTTTCAATTTTGTGCTCGCGGTTTGTTTAAAGCTATTTTTGGCCGCCGTCTCACTTTATTAGTCATCATCATTATATCATCATAACACCTATATTTTCAAACAGTTCAATATTTTACAACTTACTTTCAATATGAATACAATCTTATATTGTAAGGAGGATCGTAATCTAAAAGTGCAAAAACACTTGTCACGCTAAGACCCATGTGTATATATACATATATACACAAAAAAAAGATACATACAGGATAAAGCGAAGTAATATTGAACATATTAATATAAGATTATTAATAAAGGGAAAATGGGCAGTATATAGATAGGTAAATAAAATTTATAGATTACAATAAAAAAGAAAGGATTTGGTGTATTACTTTATAACCACGTCTCAGATAGACCAATTATGTAAAAGTTCAAGTTTAGTGAATTTTAAAATTGTTCTAAAGAATCAAGTTTGTTTGGTGAACATTTAATATCTAAATGAAAAAGAGAGAGTTTTTCATTATATGAATTGCCAAAATTTGTCATTAAATTGATTAATATTGAATGAACCATCAAGAAATGGATTTTCACTGATTAACAAGACTATCTGATCATCAAATTTATCAAATGGAGTGTTAGTAACTTCCTAAGGGGATTAGTTAATATGCTAATTGTATCACTATTTGCAACAGTATCTGGATTAATGCAGAAATCATGGAACGGTAACTTAACGGTAATAAAAATTATTTTATGACATTTCGGAGGGAAGATAAAATATTAGGTTCTGTGTGTAGAACTAAATGCAAAATACACTAATTTAAATAAAAACAATAATAGACTTACAATCAGAAAAACAAACACGAAGACCACACGAGCTAACATGAAATGTAGCATAGTGCTTAAATATTTATTACACCTGCAATACACAGGCAGCAGCTCAGACTTTCAAAAACAATGTCAAGACAATAACAATGCAAATTTGCATAACAAAGAATACGTGAAGCCCATTTTCTAAATTAGTGAATTGAGCTACTTCATGAATAAAAATATAAAGATATAAAGAAAGTATTAAATTTCCAAATTGTGGTTAATAGGGCATAGTTTCCTTATATATTCAGTATATTAAATAGTATGATACATACTCATATGTAGTTTAGGCATGAAGTTCTGGTTTTAGACTTGTAGATTTATTCTGATGAATTTCTCCACTTTCCTGCGTACAATCTAAATTTTGTTCCGTTATCGTAAAGGTGCTTAACTTCCCTTTTTTTTAAATTGAATGCTTGTAGGCTTAACATATTTAAATATACACAGGATCAATCTAAATTTAGTTCTGTTGTTATAAAAGTGTAATGCCAACTGCTGTTAGATTAAAAGAAACTTTTTTTTTGAGATGCAGACATATTACAAAAAAAATATATATATTTAAAAATTAACTTTAACAAACTATGAAGTAAGACTCAACTAATTTATCAAATTATTCTACATCATTTGTCATTGCCAACAACGTCGTTTTCTTAGGCTGCACATCCTTCTTTCCCTAGAGTTTTCTTTAACTTGTTGAAGGATTTTGCACGTTTTCCGTTTTCACCCTTCTTTGGCCATTTTTCAATGTAGCTAGTAGCATCAAGTAAGTACTTGTACCTTGGTAGCAAATAAAAAATATCAGTTATCAATTTTAATGTATACACTTAAAATACAATAACCGACAGTTGAGATATATTTATCAAATGTACCTATCGTCACCGACACTCAAATAGACGCAAACGTCTATTTGTACAAATCAATTTTTTTGAGAAAAACGCCTTTGAAGTACATCATTTCACAAAACAGTTAATTTTACTATCAAGCTATTTGTATTTTTTTTTAAAGCTAAAGCATTTAAATGTTATATTTATTTTTATTTTGTTAATGTTGGTATTATCTAGCCCATAACAACGATTGCAACGCCGCACACGCGTCTTTCGAGATTCTACTGAGATATTGTGTCTGTGAAAACGCAAAATCCACTTTCATCGATTTGTGCAAAATTGCTAATTAGTCTAACAAAATAATGTAGTTCTACTTTAAAATTTGGTGAAAGCGGTGAAAAGATAAAGTTCAATGCACAATATCAAAATGTCCAAAAAAAAAAAATAATAATAATATAAAAAAAAAACACTGAAAAGTGTATAATTGTTTAGGTAGGAGTCGCTGACGAAATACAAAGACAGAGTTTGGTAGCCTATTAGTAGTTTCAATAAAAGAATAATGTTAGTAACCGTGCTTATGACTTTAGGTCGTATTTTTTTTTTTTTTTTTTTTTTTTTTTTTTTTGTAATTTTAATAAGGTCGATACAATAATTGAAATCGAAAATAAAAATCTTACTTGATAAAATTGCCGTCCTTGTAGGAGAGGCCATCTTTGCCCATAATCAAATACTTTCGCCCGATCATCCAATCGCACTCGTTTTCACAAGAACTCTTCATAGAAAACAGGCGAGTCAAAGAGCCCGCCTCAATCGTGTCTTTACCTTCACAGAGGATAATTAAAAATCCGATTTAAATAGAATTTCTCAAAGATAGTATGCGATTTTCATTAACATTTATTCTTACCTTCGAAACACACAGACGATTCTTGCACTTATGCAAACAAAAAATAGAATATTAGAAATAAGAAAGTAAGTAACAAACCTGTGATAAATAAAAAATATATTTAAAATTATACAGTTTCCAGAAACACCGATACCACAAAAAAAAAATCATAATGCATTAAAATCTACTTACATTAAAATTACAAAAACAATAAACTTCCTTCATAAACAGGTAAACACCAATCAAAAATATAAAAAAAATAATAAACAAAAAACTACACTGAAAGACATGTTTAAGCCCAATTAAAACTTTAAAATATCTACAAAATAGTCTAAATAATCGTTAAAACTAATTAAATGCAATGAATTGCTAATTTTGATTAAAAAATTATATAAGTTTGGACTAAAAGCAATTTAATGAAACGTTACATAAATAACAGGAATAATATGAATTAAGAGAAGACGTGCCTTTGTAATAAAAACTAGAAAAATATGAAGGTGTGGACGGGAACTAAAAACATACCATTTATTGATCCCGTAGTCTGAATATCAACTTTGCTCATTGCTGTTAAAGATTACAAATAGAATCGGGTGCTTTACCCGTATCAGCTTAAAATGTAAGACAATCCTAATAGGTTAGATCATATCGGAGACATTTAACGTATTAAAAAGAAGACATGAGGATTGCGAAAAGAAAATAATAAACATTTAAAACAAGTTTAAAAGCGGCTGAATTTTGGAAAATTACAGAATTAGCTCTCCTAGTTACTACAACAGTAATTGATATACAGAAGAACGATTGTATTATAAATAAGGAATTTAGTATCACGGTCTAGATAACCTTTGACACGAGATAATAAGATTGATAAACCAATTTACCAATCTTGAATCTATGTTTCTTAATATGGGGGCTGCCATGCGAGTGTGTCATTAAATATTACCCTTTAAAGTGTTAATGGGAAATAACTTGTTTCAGTTTGTGACTATTTAGTTCAGGATATCTATCTTACTTTTTTTACTTTAAGAAGCTAAAGATGAAAAAGGATGAATAATCCCGACCACAATTCATTTTCGAGTTTCCGGCAATACATATGATATGTTGTTTAAAGTATGCCTACTCTGATTTAGCATACCTACACACTGACGTTACCAGGTTTTTGATATCTTTTGCATTCTAAAACGTTTTATTTAAAAATCTGAATATCAGGTTCAAATATAGAAGCAACACATTCACATGTCAAACCAATAGTAAACACTGTATTAAAGCCTATTATCTATGCGAAGATTTCAATACATGTCAACACTTTTCTGTTATCAAAATGTGTTTATCTCACCCTGAGCTATGTTTATTGTTAGCCAAGGGCAGGTTAGGATGTGGTGCCGGGACAGGGATGCAACTAACAGGAACATGTATTAGACAGATGAAAGCAGCCGTGATTGCTGCACCACAAGTTGTGAAAGGCCATACCAAACTATCGACCTACTGCCATCCAGACCGTACCTCGAAAAAGAGTTACACTTGGGGTAGTCATTAGCGTCACGAATGAGTGATTTGAGAGGGCAGTTACAAAAATTGTTATGGAGCATTTCTCCAGCATTTATCCAACCCGACTCACGAAGGAGATGCGAGTTTATGAATGCAAAATTATGAAAATTTAGGGAGAACATACTGAACAAGCATAAGATATTCAAAATGAATTGGTCGAAGGCCATACGTTGTTGACGGCACCACAAAAAAAAAAAAAAAAAAAAAAAAAAAAAAAAAAAAAAAAAAAAACAGTCTTTCTATTAAAGAGGCTACAGACATGAGATACTTGTTTAAAAAAAAGGCTTCAATTTTTTTCTGTGGCAAATACAATTTAAAACCAATTATATTTATATCTTTGTAATATATGGCTGTTATAATCAAGTTATTTTGTGGTTAGTTGTCTTCGAGACAGGCCCTATATATGGCAATTTAATATAGAATGCATGTTTTGATTGTTTGCAGACGTGTTTTTATGCCTCCGGCCCTTTTAACATCATAACACATAAATACAAATTAGATGAGGGTTTCTAAATGTACATTCCTATTAATGATTATATGCATAATATACATACTTTAATAAATTAATATTCACATCTTTAGACGACATTGAAGGACAGAACTAAAATGTTGAAATGTTTTTGATTGTTGTTATTTTCATCTTGTAATTTGAATATTTCATTTTGTGATTCTTGCTTATTTTTGTACTTTTTCCATTTGAATCAGTGTTTTGTATTCTCTTTTATTATTCAAATAATCTGCCAATACAATTTGTGTTCGGTATCTTCTTGTGAGCTGGTTTTTGTTGACGCCAGGCGTATCTAACGCCGGGCGTACGTTAATCCATGGCGTAATTAGAGAGATGTCCAGACTGCGATTAACGAACGCTAGCGTAAGTATTCGCGCGAAATATTCGTAATCATAATTCGTGCACTTTTTTTCCTGTTTACATCTAGGCATATTTTGATTGGTCAAATCCTGCCCGAGTTCAAAATCACTGATGCGTGACTGTCGTAACTCAGTGGCGTACGCTAATCTGGGGTCAGTTGCTGGATTAACGTACGCCAGTGATTGTGCGATACAATAATGGCGTTCGCTATGCCGCGCACAAGTTTACACTACTCGATCAACGTTACGCTAGCGTAAAGGCCAACTCAGACAGCGTCGGCCGACGCAGCCCGACCCGATTTAGCGTCGGGGAAAGTCTTAAGCCGTCGTGAGAAATATTAAACACGTTTAATATTCTACTACGCGACTGCCCCCGACGCACACTATCGCGTCTGCGTTCAACTCACACAGACCCGACGCGACAACAAATCGCGTCGGGCTACGTCGTACGACGCTGTCTGAGTTGGCCCTAAGTCGTTGTGTCTGAACATAGCCTTACAATATTTTCTTCATTACTTCTAGTAATAACTTCATCATCCTCTTTATGTCATTATTCCAATTTTGGGGGCATTCATCAGTTGCTTCTGTCCTTCTATTAAAATCTCCTACTATATATACATTTTCTCCATATTTTGCTCTAAAATCAGATAATTCATCCGCAACCGTACCATAAAACCGTTTATTATCTATTGCATATGGTGAATTAGCTAGAGTGGTCTATTTTTTTTATTGGCGCATAGCGACAGCTGTAATATGTGCCTTATAAATCCATTGATTGATTGATTGATTGATTATTACTGCAATGACTATACATTTAATTTCTAATTTATATTATAACCATACTGTATGTTTGGAAGAACTTGGCAATTGTTTTAACCTTGTTTTACTAAATACTACTACCCGTATTTCTCCCAATATGTGTATGTTTTGGAGTTATTTTGCTAATAATGTCATATCCATTTATACGGCAGTTACCTACATTATCAGTCCATGTTTCTACCAAACAAAATATATCATATTTTTTCATTTATACAAGATACAAGATACAAGATATTTTTATTGTCACTTATAGAAAAAATTCACAAGTAAAATTCTTTTTCCTGATGCTTATACACGTAATGAATATATATATATATAAATACAAAAATAAATACAGAGGTTAATACAAAAGACCACAAAGGGTGAACAGCACACACACAAAAAAAAATAATAGCACAAGGTATTCCAAAGGAAAAATCATCGGTCAAAGTTAGCATTATAGATATAAACTGAGTTGTGAGTGAATGAATTTCTTAATCTATTAGTATTGCACTTTTTAGGGCGTAGGCGGCCAGATCTGTTAGATGTGTGTTCATGATGCAAGGGGTAATAAGATTAATTAATTATTGTCCATTAATATTCCAAACTTTTGTTGATGCTGTTTCTGAGCCTTGGCCATTACGTCATGTTATTTTTGTTATCCTTGTATGTTTACCTTATCTTATCTTATCTTATTTCGAACTCTTACATATTCTTCCATATTCTCTATAAGTCTATCTCCCACTATCCGCATTATCATACCTTAGTTTGCAGATTTTTTCGCTTTCCTTTCTTCTTATATCAGTTCGCTTAACTTTTTTTTATCTGTTGTTCACTCATGGCATTTCCTTGTTGCACTTCCTTTCGTTCGTTCATTATTTTTCTATCTCTCATGAGTATTGATTCTTTCTGTTATAGCTACTCAATTTAGCAATTATTGGTCTCGGTTTAGATAATGTATTCAATCTATAAGCTCGTTCTACAGTTATCTCCTCATCGATACATAACACCAATGTTTCCTTGGTTTGTTCTTTAAAACCATAACATATCAAATTGTTTCTCCTACCCTGTCCTTCGATCTGGTCAAGCTTTAATAATAATTTCTTGTTTACCATGTTCTTTTTTCTACACTCTAAATTCTATCCTTTGTGGCATCCATTGTTTCGTTGGTGTTGGTTATCTTATCTTATATATTTTGTTACTGATATGACCAACTTTTTCATCTATTTTCTTGTCCCTTTCTTCAATGTCCTTGGCTAATCCGGTAAGCTTTTGCTGGAATTCGGCTCTCATTTCTTTTATTTGCGTCAACCCGGTAGCCTTCGCAGCTTCATCCTTGCGTGTTATTGGGCCTGGATTTTGCTAAACGTCCGTGGCTACAATCAAAATTTCCGCCAGTAGGACGGCCAGTCGTAGCAAACTTGAAAAACTTTCCGAGCTAACTAATCCTCTCTAAATGTTCCTTTTGGTCTTTTATTTCTTTTTCCGGAATACAAGTTACAAGTTACCAATCCTTACTCTCAACACTTCAATTGAAATCATGGTAATATTACAATATAAGTTTAACGGTATAGGTGAAAAAGATTTACGCTCATCCAACATGAGCATCATATGCTTTTGTATTAACGCCCTCAACAATCAAAAATTTAAATACTGTTTGATGGGTTTTTCAATTAATTGCACAGGATAATAATTTTAAGTAAAATGTCTTTACGTTTAATGTCTTCAT